CCCCCCCCCCCCCCCCCCACCTCATCGGACATGTGCATGCCCTGTAAGCGGAGTTTCACTCGTGTAAAATCCAATTGAAAACTAACCAATGCTTATTTGAAGGAGGGTTTTTTTCTGCAGGCAATATGGTGGTTTTTTTCTGGATAAAAAGAGCACAAGCAGCCTACCACATCTCAGAGAAGAATGAAATGCCCAGTAAACAAATGCGTGCAATTGAAATGCCAACTTCCACCTTATTTGGAGCAACACAGTAGAAGAAGGAAGTCCGTCCGGGTGTTTTCCACTCAGGGTACCTCTGCATGGCGCAGTGCATGAGCTAGCTCAGGTACCAGAGGTATTGCGGACATGCAGCGTGACACTCATACAGGCTAATATATCCTGCTACCCTGGGCAGAGTACAACATTAATAATGCATCTGTGAAGCTATCGCTACGGCAGCTAGCCCTGAACAGCCCAGCTGTCTTCACAGCACTGCTTTGCACTCTGTAGGCAATACTTTCGGTAGAGCTCTAAAATTTGTCAAGCTGTGCAAAAAGTCATTTTGCAGAGATGGCCCAGTAATGCTGAAGAAGCCCTGGTGCAAGGAGAATGGAAGCTCAGTAGGCAGATAGGAAAAGCTGCTCATTTTCAAATGATAAAGATGATTTTCCCTGCCACTGCTGCAGGTCGTTCCTTTGCAGGGCATTCGCTCTAGCTACTTCAGCAATAACGCACACAACTATCTACACATGGGTTTAGATGGGAGCAAGCATTTTGTATTTAGTCTTTTTTCAGAACCATGCCTTGAATCATCCTGGAAAAGAAAAGAAAAGTGAGGAAATTTAAAAAATAATAATTTTGAGATTTTCCAGCTTCTGTACGTTCTGGGGTTTTTGCTTTCAAGACTTTCTCTAGTCCCGATGGTTTAGAAGCTCATGGGGCTTTTGGCTTTTGTTGTTTTAATTTAAAGTTAATATTCTATAATGGTCACCTGACTCCACAGCCTATATCTGAAGCCCTGGCACACATTACACTTAAGATGCGATTAACCGCTAGTTGGTTAATCAGCTGCTCTGAGCTCTCAGCCATGGTAGCTTGCCATATTGCCCTGTAGAGGGATCCCAGGATCAGGATCCTGGACTTCCCCTGCATGGGCAATGTGGTGTGATGGGATCTGATGCTCGATGCTGCAGTCACTCCTCCTGCCATGCATGTGTGGGGATTGCACATCAGAAGCCATTCTGCCTTTAATTGCACATCCAGCTGGCCCCTGATTAACTCAAACCATGGGCCAGGTTTGTGATAAATCCTGAGAGTTGGCAATGCTGACATTGTTTTCTGGACTATCAGAGGACAGAGTGATTGGTGTTACGCGAGAGGCTATGATGCAACATTTAAAGGTTCACTTGCAAACCCTGGAAGTCACTGAGCTCCATGGACTGTGGACTGAGCTCTAGCTGACTGTTTTCACTCTGCTCCTTTGTGAGCCAGCCATGAAAAGCCAAACAATTTATAGGATGGCACATCCATCAAGCCTGGATTGTAAGAGATGATCGTCGAATATTTATGGAAATCGCCCTGCAGGCAATCACAATGTAGATGTTTATTCACAATGCAGCTACTTGTGAACAAGCTACAGAACAGTAACAGTTCACCAAAGTTATTAGGCCAGTTACTTAGATTTGGGAATTAATTTGAGATGATGATGGTGTCTGAACAGGAAAAGAAGTGATATTCCCCTCTGCTTTTCAGAATTACTGCTGCTAAAGGAATTATGCTGGGGAACATATTGGCAGTGGGGAATTTTGATTTTGGAAACTCACTACCCTGCTAAGAAAAGCTATTAAAAATACTGACGAGATGATAGGAGTCCCCATATCAGACTGCAGGTTTATTTTGTGCTGCCCATGATATACATTCAGAGGGGTCCATGGTGTTCTCTGCTCATGCTAGACACGCACTTTTTTGTTTTAGCATCAAATCTGCCAAAGCAGTGCCTGCTTCCAGCTGCAGCGAGCTCGCTCTTCATCAGTATTCAGAGCCGTCTGCTCCTATGCGACCCTTTCACATCTCCAGCCCCTGCTTTGAAGGCCCTCATGCTCGTTAGCTATAGCAGCTACTCCATGCAGGCTCTGAGGGATGAGGCTAGCTGTTGCATTACGCATAGCTTCAGTGTTAAGTCAGAAGGGCCCTGAGTCTTCAAAGAACTTTAACAGGATATTTGGCATTGTCTTTATTTTGTTACTTGTTACTGGGAGATGTAGTAATAAAGAAAAAAAAAACTTTTTGAGAATCCCAACTGCATGTTGCTCTGATTGGTAGTGATTTCCAGCTGTTGTTCCAATTGTTTCTGTAAGCATGCTGACAAAACCAATCTTTTGCAGGAGTTATTAAGATGATAATGTTGGTTGTATCGCATCAGCCCACGAATGCTAATACCGCATTATATGAACTAATAGGATATGGGTGAAAACTGATAATTAGATGATTACAAGAGGTTCATTGTCCTAGAAGGTTTTCTCAGCGCACTATGCTGCTTTTTGCATGCTTGTAATTCTATTAAAATAGGTGTTTGGGCATTTTCTCATGCACTCGTGTTTGCAGAAACCAAGCATAAAATAGGTTACAAATGATTGGGACACAGGACTAACTTGGGACCAAATCCTTTCAGACTTTACATGGGCAGATGTCACATGTGCACTGGTGGGTTTGGCCCATATAAATTTGCTTTGACCATCATGGATTTTTTACAAGCAATATTTTGCCCAATTGTGACCAAGTCAAGGGCAAGGGTTGGACGCTGCTGGCAGAACTGGAAAGGGTTAGAAACATGAGCAATCAAATTACTTTCCAGTACTATGTAAAGGACTGGCTTTATCCTAGGATCTACCGATGTTCAGCATCTTTCACAGTCAGGTCCCACATCTGGGAGGCAGGGAATGCTGATCTGCTGACACACATTATATATAATTTATGCTGTGTTCAGTTGGATCGGGCTCCTTATGACTTGGATTAAATATTTATAGAGTGCTCTACAAACTATTGAAGTCAACTGGATCTGGGCTTCCTGTCGGGCCTGTTGCCGTCCTATAGTTGCTTCTGCTTTCCATTCTCTGCCCTTGTTTCTAGGTGAGACGACAAAATGATGATCAGACCCTTGTTCCTTTCGCAGTTCCCTGCTTTTCCTCCCTTTGTAGAGAGTAAAGTTAACAATTCCACCATCTCTTGGATCATGTAAGATCAAATGCATGCATGCAACTGCTCCATATTAGCTCTGTTTTATTTTGGTCACCACATAAATCTTCTTTTTGCTTTGTTCGTTCTTTGAAGGATAATCCCCTCTTAGCAGAGGACTCCAATCTGGGTGGCAGCAAACGCCTAAGCAAAAGCAATATTGACATCTCGGGACTTATGGAAGATGAGGAACCAAGGCAACCGTTGCCACGGAAACAGAGTGACTCATCCACCTATGACTGTGATACTATAACCCAACATCACGCTTTCCTGTCTAGGTAACTATTCTTTGATGATTGAGTAGAGGCAATAAGAGTGCAATTGAATGCAGACTGTTAATGCCAGAGGAACAGCACCCTCCGTGTTTGTTTATGTAGACCTGGCTGAAACCTTTTCAGACTCCTCAAAAAAAAAAAAAAAAAAA